AAAAAAAAATAAGGTTTAAAAATTATTTTACCTACCTATTTGGTAACTGTTATTATTTTGGTGAATTATTGAATGAAATAAATGAAATAATATATTATTATGAATAATATAATTATTGTAATCTATTTTGTTGGTGAGTAGGGGGGTGTGGGGGGCAGAGCCCCCCATCTAATTTTTCAATTACTTATCAGGGATAAAATAGGGAAAATTTAATACCCACATTAAGGAGTTTGTAAAAAATGAGTTGGCATGCCTGCCTCCCTTTGACAGTGTATAAGTATAAATGTATGAACCAAGATATAGCTTGATCTGCTCCTAGCTACTGGGGACTTGGAAAAACTGACTCTGGAGTCTGGATGGATGACAGGTGAAGCATTTTATGAATATGTTAGTAATGTATTTCATCCATATTTGGTGAGTAGTAAAATTAAACTTCCTGTGATTGTTTTCTTGCATTTAGGTAAGTTCTGCAAAGAAAACCAAATAATTTTGGTATGTTTATTTCCAAATACCTACCACACACATCCTGCAACCACTTGACATTTCAGTTTTTGCTCCATTAAAAGCTAAGTGTAAATCTACAGTTCGTCAATGGAGAGTTGATAATGATGGTAAAGAAATATGCAAACAAGATGTTCCTACAGTATTGCACACAATTTTAAATAATAGCAACTTAATTAACTCCATTAAGTCTGGATTTCGAGTGTGTGGACTTTTCCCATGGAATGCAGATAATGTAGCTTATACAAAGTGTTCTTTAAAAGAATGTCCAACTAGAAAATCTACACAACAATCAACTAATTTATTATAGCTTAAAATTTTTTAAAAATATATTGAACCTGATCTTCTTCAAGAGTTTTATATGACTAAAGATAGAAACACTGATTGGGAAGGTTCTATGACTGTCTCAGATTTATATGATGTATAGAATAAAATGTTGTTTTATCAGAATCAAAATATATTACAACCTTCTATTAATTGTGAGGCAAATTAATTGCAAACAATTAAAACTTAAAATGATTCTGTAAGCCAACTACAAACAAATTAACACTCCAAATGATTCTACAAGCCAACTACAAACAATAGCATACAATATAAGCCTATACCTCGGCCTATACCTATAGAGTTTTTCGTTGTAACGAGTTTCATAAAAAGTTTTTACTGTATTATGTATCTTGTTCCAATTTTTTAAAGTCAATATCAAAAAACTAAATTCATTATAATAATCATATTTTCATCCATAATACCTACCTATCTATCCATAATTTTTATAC